CTATCTGGTAAGAACAATTCACCTTTCCTACTGTTTTCATGCCTGCACAGAACAAACAGCAATTGCTCAAGCTAAAAGTACGTCCTGTCATTCTGATATTAAAATTTACAAGTTTGTGGTTTGTCTCTGGAAAGATGAAAGAGACATTCATATACCATGCAGAGAACAATTTGGCTTTATATATTTGCAATTATCTAAACTGTGGGAGCTGCATGTGCAGGTTTGAGCTGATTGTTTGGTGAAATAAATGAATGTGGAGAAAAACATGATGCAGCAAAATACCTATCACTGCAATCCAGTCTGTTAGATAATTATTGCTCCAACACTTCCACGTGTAATTCATTATTAGATCTACAAAATAGTAAAAACCTTTAAAAACCTGACAGCTAACTGCTGTGTAGTCACTATTTATTAGAATGATGGTCAATGAGTATGTCTGAAATTGCTCAGGGTTCCTATTCTCCTTACTCGAGAGCTGGTCTTCACTGAAATGTTAGTGTCAGATTCGACTGGGTTTCTGTGAAATGACCATGCAACAGTCAAACACACCACAACCTTTCTTTCCCCAATAAATTGTGCATGATTTCTCCATAGCAGCTGACACTCCAAGCAAGAACAGTTATCCAGAGCTGGGCAAGCCTGAGGGCTGCACACTGCAGACACAGCACCTGCAGCAGCGTGCTGGCAGCCCCACACTCCTGCACAGGACTGCATGCCACCAGACAGCTGCTGCTGTTTATCCAGCCGCTCACTCCAGCCCAATTATCACCTGGTGTGACTCTGTCACACAAAAAAGGAGTATTTACAAAATTACACAGGACAATATAAACATTTCTGTATACATTACAGAGGCCAAAGGATTCACTGAATCTTAAAGTCTGGAGACTGAAAATCTTTGTGGTTTATGATCACACCAGAGACTTAACAACTTTTCTGCCTTTATGTCTTTGAAGTTTATCTTAGTCCTGAAACTTTTCCTTAAGTTCCATTAGGTTCTGACAATTTTCCACCTTGCTTTGTCTGTGATCAGTACTTCTTTAACAAGGTTAGCAGCAGTACATTTCCATCTACTCCATGCAGTTCTCCCTACTGCTTAAAAAGTTTGGCTGTGCAATGAGCCTTCACTACTACAGTCAGTAACAGCTGCATAACTGCTGTATTGTCTATTAATACTCCTGAGTTACACAGCCTTTCTTCAAGGATGATTCCACAATTAGCAATAATACTCTCCCTGCATAACAAAATGGCAAATAAAACAGGACAAAATATTGTATGTGTATATTCATATTTAAATCGGTAACTTCAGGTCATCAGCTGTGAGCTGGTAGAAAAGAGTTCTCCCTTCTTCCTTATCTTGAGGAAGTATCTAGGACAGCTAGGACTACTGCAATAATGGTATACATATAGTATCATAGCTGTATTATATTATAATTTAATATAAAATGCAGACTCTGCTATAAGAATCCATCTTGGAATCGATTGTCTTGGAATCGATAATCTCACCTTGTCAGATGTGGAACAAACCACAGGGTGAGGCTACTGGGTTTCATTCTCTCCATAGTTATGATACATTGTACTGTAATAGATAATACAAATGAATATATGTATTATATATGTACACACACATACAATACAAGTATCAACAGGCGTACCAGAAACTAAACAGGAGATAAACTGACCAGGAAGGCCTTCTCATGTCCAAAATTAAATGGAATAAAATTACTATAAATCACATGCAAGGTGACAAATGATGGGACATCTAAGTTAAATTTGCAGATATAACTACATTTGTCGAAATTACTTTAGGTATAAAACATAATAGATTCTAGACACTATTTCATTTAAATAAATAAATATTTGTAGCATTTTCATTAAATGAGTATACAACTCACAATAAAATATTCTTAACAGGGACTAACCCAGTTTTTATTGTTAGAAAATAGAACTCCATGTTCTATAACTTTAAGTATTTAATTATAACTTTAACTATACTTTATATTAAACTTTATGTACTCACTTTAATAATTAATGAAAGCAAAATATGGACCACAATCTTTTAGGCAAAGCAAATAAGAACTGAGTCCGTATGGTAATAATGAACCTATTTTCCCCTGCAGCTTAGTGGGAAAACGTTTCTAAGCATAGAAAAGGGAAACCTTTCTGTAAACATGATCACATATTCATCCCCTAAAACAGATTAAAATACTTCAGGTAAACTGAAGTTACTTTGATTTATTTGCAAATGCACGGTATTAAATGCTTACAATATTCTAAACACTTAAGAGATTCTTGTACATTACCAGGGAACACAGGAAGCTGCTGCTAGCAAGCAACTTCAGTGCTGTGAAAAAACCCATAGAATTTAGCTGTTTGCTTTTTAAAACATTGTTTATTGAGAACATTTAATGAGGACTAGGGCTTCAATAGCAAATATTTAACCAAGAGCACGGATTCCCTCACATAAGCACAACTGTCCCAGCCTACTTGGGGGAAACTCATTATGATGATAAAAGATATGAGATTTAGCTTTCCTTTATTTAACCCAAGCTATTGAAGTTCCTGTAGAGCAAAAGAAACCATACCGCACATCTGTCTCATCTCCTTTTTGACAGGGACAAGTTTTCAGAAGATCTGGGTACTGCAGCTCTCCTGCACAGTGCAGCAAAAATTACATCTGGATCATATGGAGTACAAATCATTTCAGTACAATTCACACTATGGAAAAAACAACTAACTTTGCCCAATCACACTGGAGTGTTAACCTGGTGAGTTACTGCAGGAAAATAACTGTACATTTATTTTGCACTGGGTAAGTTCTGACCACATAGAACATGAGCTGGGAAACAGAGGTCCATGGAGCAGGAGGGGTGGCTCCTGTGCAGCAATGCCAGCACCCTCAGGAGAGCCAAGAAAGGGAAGTTGTGTGGCCTGCATTTGCAAGGCCAAGCAGAGCTGAGAATACAGAGTCCCAGGACTACAGCAGTACTTTCACCAGTGTCATAAAGAAAACTTTTGGTGTATAACTGCATCTAATCCCAGTGATTATATAGATTATATTATCCTTGCACCTTGTGTCGGCTGTCCAGTGTGGGATGTGGGGCAAAATTCTTTCCTGTGGGCTGTCTTGTTACAGGATTAAGTTATGGCCATCCACATTATTTATACAGAAAATATTTCACACTCCAAATTTTATTTTTAAGAATTTCATCCCACTACTGTTTTTTTTACCCTCACCCATGGCAGTAGATCCTCATTCTCCTTTGCTTGGGGCAAACACCATTCAGCTATCCAAAAGCAGTTGTACAGAGATTCAGTCCATAAGATGTAGGTCAATGACTGAAGAAATTGACATTATTTAGGACAGCACATAAATATTTGACACGTGCACAAAGTTAAGCCTGTGTATGACTGCTATTTTAAACTAAGGCCCAGAGATAAGAAAGATCCTATCCCTCAGTGCTTCATTCAAACATAATTACCAAAACACAAATTCCATTGGGGAGTAAAGCTGGACTTCCAGAGCCAACACCACAAGATAATACTATAGCCACTCTACACCTGGTGATCAAGCGACTCAGGAGGGCTCTGAGTGCCAGCAGTGCGAGCCAAGACCTCAGCGAGTGCCCTCTGTCAGGATCTTCTCCTGCCATTACCTAGGGCATATTACTCACTACTGCATTAATGAAAACCGCCAAGTTAATGAATACAAATAAACAAAAGACCCTTTTGGGTTTTTTAATACATGAAAATCCCATTTAGCTAACACTGTGAGTACATTTAGCTGTAAGAACCGGAATTAAAAATATATGTAGCTTGAATCTACATTCTAGCCTGCAGCTAACAAAATCACAAATTCAGTACTTAGGACAGAGGAGTCTTCTGAGGGATTTTGGTTTTGTTTTGTCTGTAGGGTGGGGCTCTTCTACATCTTACAGCTTTTAGAAGGAAAGCTCCTCTCACTGAGACAGAACCACAGCTCTAAATGAAGCTAACTGGCACTTCAGTTGGAAAACTCAAATTAAAGGCTCTGAGTTCAACTACCCGAGAGAGAAGAGAAGGGTTCAAGTAGAGACTAGTTCATAAAGCAACCATATCCTTGTCATTTATCCTTTATGCTAGACAGTTTGCCACTTCGGTGAATCTGAAAACCAATCAAGACAGACTGATTTTAAAAAACAAACAAAAATCTTGCCAGAAGAATAGGTCGAAAGTGGCCCAGGGTCTAAGCCTTTTTATATGAAACCAGAGTTTAGCCTTTATCTAGGAAAACACCAGAAAGAATTTCTGCCCTGACCAACCTTTTAGAAATCTCTGCAGAGACTTCCTTTGCTTTGATTCTTGTTCTCTGTGTGATCACTAGTTTATTCTTCTTCTTTTTTTTTTATGATATATCTGTTATCTAGTAAGTTTTACTGCAGTCTCTTCTAGTTATTTGCAGGAGTGTGGTGATGAATTCCACATTTAGAACCTATATAGGAAACTGGAAATATCCAGATGGTTTTTTTTCTTGTGACCTAGCCCATGAATAATTTCAGAGGCAGGTATAATTGTTTCCACATGCACAGACACACCCGGCACAATCGCAAATTTATGTTTACCATTAAACAAAGATATATGTACAATATTTATTTATAAATAACAGACAGGGTAGATTTTCCAGGTGAGTGTAAAAGCAACTTCTAAACAACAGCAGCCACCAAAGGGACGAGGCATTCAGAGAGCGGATCCGCTGCCGGGTCCGTTCCTGCCACCCCTGCGGGGACCGGCGCTGCCCGCGCTCCGCGCCGGGGGCGAGACCCACGGCTCTGCCGGCCCGCCCCTGGCCACGGGCCTCTCCAATAGAAACTCCCTCCCAGCGCTCCGGAGCCGGGCACAGCACTTCCATAACTTGTGTCCGGCCGCCCCGCAGCCCCCGGCCCGCCGGGAGGAGCCGCTGCGGGCCGTCCGCGCGGCCCCGCCGTGCCCCCGAGGGCGCTCCCCGGCCCCGCGCCGCCACTCACCGACTGCAGGAAGCGGAGGGTCCCCACGTAGTCGCGTTCGGTGCTCAGGATCTCGTTGAGGACGCAGAGGCGGAGGCGCAGCTGGCGCTCGGTGTCCCTGGGGCAGGCAGCGGGCTCGGCGGCGCTGGGGGCGCCGGGCGGCTGCGGCGGCGGCTCCATGGTGGCGGCGCGGGCCGGGCGCTCCGCTCCCCGCTCCCTCAGGAGCCCCCCATGGCCCCCTCGGCCCTGCCTCGCCCGCGGTGGAGGCGTTACAGCAGCCGGGCGCTGGGTAAAGCCCGGCCGCGGGACATGCCGGAGTAGCGGTCAGAGAAGAACAGAGAAGGGAAGTCCCGGTGGCGGGGAGGGAGAGCGAGGGGAAGGAGGGACGGGGCGGGAGCAGGCGGCGGAGCCAGGCCCCGGGGGCCGGCGGAGAATTGCGGGGCGGGGCTGGAGTGAGGGGAGAGTGGCTTTCTCATCTCCTCCCGCACGTCCTCGTAGCCACGCGTCGTCCTCACACACCGCCCCTCGCACCCGCATTGAATCACCCCCATGCGCTGCAGACCTCGCCCTCTCGGCCCCCTGCCCTTCACAGTGTTGTGCTGCTGCACATGCCGCACAGCGCGGTCACACATCCCGCACATCCCGCACATCCCGCACAGCGCGGTCACACATCCCGCACATCCCGCATATCCCGCACAGCGCGGTCACACATCCCGCACATCCCGCATATCCCGCACAGCGCGGTCACACATCCCGCACAGAGCCCCGCACATCCCGCACCGAGCCCCGCACAGCGCGGCCGGACGCTGGGCTCACCCCACGCCACACGAGCACAGCACAGCGCGGTGAGCGCACCGCGGTTTCCCGCGCGAGCAGGGCATTGCCCCCCGCCCTACGGCCCCGGCCCTGCCCGGCGCTAAGGAGGGGTCGCACCGGAATGCACACAGCACAAGGGACACACACGCGCAGAAATGAGGTACCGCAGACTTCCATGGCAAGCAAGAATAAATACAAAAAACATGTTTCATCGCCGTGAGTTCAAAATGCAGAGGTTTTACGATGGTTGCAACTGCTTGTGCAAAATGAGTGCACAGCGTAAGGGCAGGGATAAACAGGGCAAACTGCACACAAAATCAGGGCTGCAGCTGAGCACTACTCCCCGCATTCCCAGAGAGCTAACTTGGTTAATACCGGTGGAGATTCTCCCAAATATCTTCATTCCACCATAAGAATATTGCCAGGCTTTTGTCAAACTATGAATACCTTTTTTTTAATTTTTTTTTTTAACTTATCTCTTTTTTTAATTAAGGGGAAAGCTTTCAAGAAGAAAATTTTAAAAAAATTTAAAATGTTTATAATGTTAATAATGTGAATTCTTAAGAAGCATCAGAATAGAGACACTTACTGGATATACTACCTTGAAAAGTAAACTTAACAAAACTAAACATAATAAATAATAATTGTCATCTTTCCCAGGCTAAACCAAAACACCTCTCGAACTTTTTTTTTTATCTCAACATGGGTGCTTTTTTTCTGACTTAACTGGTCATTATTCTGGTTTTTAAGTTTTCTGTTCAGGAGTAAGTGTTGGTAGTCTAACGTACCCAGTTGTCATCTCAAGGCTTCATGGATATCGCATTACATGGAATGAAAAGCAGGCTGCAGGTCTGCAGTGCAAAGAAAATACCTCAAATGCTTTCAGCCCTAGGTGTGGAAATTGCCTTTATTAAGTGTCACTATTTTATTTCCCCATGTGTCCTAATGAGGCAGTCTTGGGTCAAGGTGTGCAGTTATCATGCCTCTCCTGATATACTTTCTGCATCTTCACCAGTAACAAACGTTCCCCTCACCCTGAGTCAGTCTGAAGCACGATTGCTCAAAAGGGGAAGGAACGTGTGGGAAAGGTCTTATCTCCCCGAGTTTCGGGGGTCTGACGGAAAAGCACCAAGGGGAGGAATTGGCCGGGGTGACCAGGCTCTGTGCAGGTCCCAGCCGCGCTGAGGAGCGCTCTGGGATGTGGGAGAGCACTGCAGAGCGGGTCTGGGACATGGGCAGGGAAGCAGAATCTCCAGAAGGTCCGATTAGACACTAAATTCAGTGGTTTTCTTTCAAATTATTTACATTTAATTTCGTTTTCTTCTGAAAGTCGCTACAGAATTTTCATTAATTTACTCGTTTTGTGTCCAGTTGATCTCTTTTTTTAAATCATCAAATGTGGTTTGTTTATTTTTCTGTTTGGGGCAAGAGGCAGCAGGCAAGACTTTCTTTTAAAATATCCTAATTAAATAACAATACCCTCTCAATAGCAATTGCCATCACCCAAGCTATGCCCCCACCCTGTGGCTGAGTGAGAAAGTCGTTAGTTTTAAAGTTCTTAATTTGCTATCTCTGTCTCCTGTGCTTCCCTCAAAAATCCTATAATAATTTCATTTCTGTAGCAAGTACTGAGACAGGAGCCCATCACAGCATAAGTAGGATGTTACTGGAGCAATGCCTCCACCGCTGCAGGGTGAGAGACTTTCTGTCATCGTGGTGTACAAGCTACATTGCTTCAAAACACTCCTCTAGCTTTAGTGGTGGTATTGAAAACATTACTGTGTAAGCATTTTAAAAATTATGTTACTTGTGACTTGGAAAGGTTAAAATGATAAGGAAAAAGGCTTCCATTAAAATTAAAGGCAGATTTTTCACTCTCTTTTAGAAAATGTCTTCTTATGCCTGTAGGAAAAATCATTTTGGCAAAGTCCAAATTATTGCAGACATACACAAAATCCTTACTTCTGAATGGATATTCTATGAGTTGCTAGTGTGGACTTTTATTTTAAAGAAAAAGAATATGTAATTAAGCCAGCAAGCTCTTTTATTATTGAAGGGCTACTATATAATAACTGGCTGAAATTCCACCTGAAAATATGTTCCTTCTAGCTTGTTTTCTTTTGCTTCATTTTAATTTTTTATATTTTTTAACAGGAAGTAGTTTACAACTACTGTTCAGTTTTGATGAGAATTTTTACTGTCAATATGTGTTTTCAAGTAAGCACTTCAAAAGCAAACAAAAAAATGCTGCTCCTTTGTAAAACAGTCAAGGAGTCAATTACAAGGAGTCTGACATCAATTACTATGAATTCAAGGTTTTTTGTGAAGATGTAATTAATTTACATGTGCTTGTAAGTTGTTTGCAGATGTTACATTTTGATGTTGGCTCTCCTATTAGCAGCAAGGTGATAAGGTCTCCACGTGGTATCACAATACCAAAGGAAATAAGCATCCGTGATGTGTTCGTCTGCATATTGGGTGTATTCAGCCTTGTAGGAGAAAATGTTATTCACCCTTGGCCTGCTGAAGGCTCTAGGAAAGCTCCAGAAAGTTGTGTGATATGATTTGTACCCTATTTCCTATAAAAATAAGATCTAGAAATCCTGAGTGATTGTAGAGTTTGTTTTACACTTCTATACCCTTTAGACTCAGCAAGAAAGGCCTGATAGACTGCACACCTGCCTTTCCCCCACTCTTTTTCTTCTCCTTTAAGCACTGCTGTTCCTTTCTAAAAAGCACTATCTGTTCATCAGGCTTCCCAAAAGCATATTGTTCTGAACTTTGATAAGTTAATAGATGGGTTTTTTCTGCTAACTTTAGGAAGTTTTGAAGCAAATCCCTATTTCTGGCTTATAAGGGAATTGCTGCTCATGCATAGTTTCAAAGTGACTTGATGACCAAGGCAAATGTGGGAGGGTATTACATATTCTGCATGACCCTTTGTCTGTGAGGACAGTGTATATATGACTTATATATCCAATTCTGTACATTTATCTGTTTTTGTGGTGCTAAATAAATTCTGGCCTCTCATGTTTTGGTTTATGAAAATGTTTATGCAGCTTTCCAGTAGAATTTAGCACACCACAATTTCACAGTTTATTGAAGCTTTCTGTGGTGAAGAGCCCACTTACAGTAAGAAATGTTGGGTACATTGTGCATCTAAGAGCTAAGTTTCTGAATTTTCCTCTCATGTATTGATCTCCACTTGGTCTTTGTGTGCATCTCCTTATGGTTGTGTTAAAAGAGCCACTGAACTGCAGACCCCTGTGTACTGGTGTACAGGCAAGCTGTCTGCATCTCTGGGTGAGGATGAGTCTCAAACAGGTCACGAATGGCAAGGTGACTTTAAGAGAAGCTTAAAGCTGGGCCTGAGCTTTGCCTGGAACTGCATAGCAGCCAGGAAACACTGTGGTAAGGTGGGCCAGCAGAGAGGGATTGCTCCTATGAGCACAGGTACCCTGATTCCAGACTGGTACACTGTGTCCATGGGGAACCCTAAATTTACCATTTCAGTTCAGCATTCACTAGCCCACAGCTCTTTCCCCTAAACAGCACAGAAATGCCCAAAGACTCACGGGAAATCGGTAAGTTGGTTGAAATGTGGTTCCCAAAACAATTTTGGCACTCAAGCCCTGCTTGTGACATACCTGGCTCAAGGTAGTTGAAGAATTTCCTGAGCTAGAAGTTGTATCTGGACCATTGCTTTACTAGCCAACAACGGGCCTATTTCCCATTGAATCCTCCATTGACACACATTTAGGCATTTGGCTTTTCCAGGATCCTTTAGCAGTTTGTTCCACATTCAGTGATAACTATAAGGAAAAAAAAAATTATTTTCCTTTAAACCTGATAATTTTCTTGGTTGCATCCTAACTTCATTACTGCAAAAAATAGAGCTCAGTCACTGTCTACACTTAATTCACCATTTAAAGATTTTGCAGACCTTTTAGTTTATTTCCTCTCAGTGCTCTCCACACCAACTTAAAATGCTCTAACCTGTTAGACTCTCCTCATATGGAAGCCATTTTGCATGGCTAACCATCTTTCTTTCACTTCCCTGTGAAAGAGGAGCTCTTACAGGAGCTCTACTATGTGCTTTGAGAGACAGCAGTGAAAGGTTTGTGCAAGATATTAAAGAAGTCTGTGTGCCAGGGACCTGTTCAGGATACAGTGATGGTCTGTATGCTGCTTCCACAGAGGGTCTCAAATGCTGCTGCTGAGCAGAGAATAAGCCCTGACTCAACCACCTGTTTATTGAATGGCAGCAGCTAATTTAAATTCCAATATTGCATCAGTAGATATACAGAGTAATTCTAGAAACTTCAGTCAAAATAATGTAGTTATTAGAGATTTCCATGTGAGTG